GGCTCGGACCTCGAGAAGATCAAGGAGCAGCTCGGTGACGACGGTAACGGGAGCGACCGGGGCGGCCCCTTCCGCCTCGGCGCTCAGAAGCACCCTCTGGAGGCTGAACGTGAACCCCGCCCGCTCTCCCCCTTCCCGCTTCTCAGCTCCCCTTTTCCTGCTTTTGATCTGTTCCGCTCAATTCGTGGAAAGTTATTTATAGTCGTTCAGAAACTGCATTTGCATTTTACAGATAGTAACCAACCTTTAAGAAGATACTTAAGTAACTGTGCAGTTCGGACTTTGTGGTAGTATCTCAGGGAGCCATTTGAACGCTGCCCTTTTAAAACTGAATGACGTATGTAACGCCTATGCGTAGAGGCTCCTCGGCTGTCAGCTTATCCCAGAGGGACCCGATTTCATCAGCTGTGGGATTACCAGGCAGAGATGGGTCCTTGCTTTAGCCCTATGAGAGGCGTTTCTCTTTTTGTACAAAAGACGTATGGTGAGGTAATGGTCTTTACATAATTGATGCTGCTGCTAGTAGCCTTCTGGTAATGCACCAGTCAGAACTTGTTTGGCCTAAAAGTGGTCTCCAGCAAGTCGTCTTACCTTGCGCTGTAGTAAGGCTCTGGCAACTCCCAGTCACCTCATGTTGGCCAGTCATCTAATGTACTGTCGAAAAAACAGCTCTAAAATAGTAGTCTTTTATTTGCTCTCTAGCCAGGCTGCCTGTCAGGTTTTTGCAATATTTAAGAATTCAGTAATCCTTACATTTAAGTGCAAAAAAAGCATCTGCGGGAGAGGAAGTGCCTTTAAGCAAAATACAAGTAACGGAACTGAAAGACCTCAATATGATTTGAGGTGCGTGTTAATCTTGGTGAGAGAAATGACTGCAGAAATGAGTGGGTTTGATCTTGTGTTCAGTGTGATGCTGTTAAATTTTTCATGCTTTTATCATCTAATGTTTACTGTATTTTAACCTATTTGAGAAGATTTTTCCTTAAAAATACAATGTTTTAGGGGAAAATTATAAACCACTGCCTTTTTGTTTGGTTTTAGTGGTTGAAAAATTTGACTACGTTTTTCCAGAAAACGGTCTTGTAGCATACAAAGATGGGAAATTCCTGAGCAAGCAGGTATGTGTGAAATTTCCAGTAAACTGAAATTTTCCAACCAAGATTTTGCTTTCTTGCTACAGAGCAGTCTTCTGTAATCAGCCTCCTAATTAAGGCTGACATTGCTGCTATTTCTGTTCGTTATTTCTGTAACAGATCATTCATTTGGCTCTCTGATTTGTGCAATGATGATCTTCATCTTAAGCTTTCTCCTCTGGAGTGTTCTCAAAACCAAAAGAAATTGGGAGCCTAGATTGGCTGGCCCAATGAGAACAGTGAAAATCCTGGAACAACGTTTCCATCAACTTATCCGTAGGAAATGCGGCTGGGGCCCCTGCTCGCAGAGTTCCTATGGGAGATGGCATGTCATAGCTGATGTCCGTTAGCCCTAGGGTTCAGCAAATCCATTGGATCTCTTGTAGCTGCTCGTTAGGAATAATTAGGGAGTATATGTTCTGATACACTGCGTAAGCTAGAAGTAAACGCTCTAAATGGATGGAAATGTACAACTGATTCTAGATACCCTAATCACCTTTGCTGCTTCTACATAACTAATGCAGATTAAAAAAATAAAATAAAATAGACCCTGACTGAGACTGCTGACTGGTGCAGTGGTTTCCAATTTATTGGGGTAATGATCTCCATTTCTTCACGCTTGGCTACAGTAGACGTTAACTGTGACTTTTTGTTTTGGTCTTCTGTCTTTGGCCCACACTGTTTACTTATAAAGCAGGTGCCTGTACAGAACACGTTAAATGGGAGTTTGTTGTTAGGGTTTAAAAAGTAAAAGAATGGGAGCCTGTAGTCAGTATCACATTTGTGTCAACTGAGTTATTTCTTGAAGGCTTGTTTCTTCCTGGTATTAACTGTATCTGAGTATCCAGCATCTGTGTTCTCCACGTGACCTATTTTTTTTTTAGAATCTCCAATTCTGAACCCTTGGTTAAAAGATGTTTCTTCTGTTAGAACATTCAGGGTCACTTGGGGGAGGACATACTTCAAGATCTAATCAACTACTGCCTGAGTTACATTGCAAAGATTAAACTGCCAAAGAAAAGGTACGTCCATACGTGCACCTCAGAGTCGCTCTATTCTCTGTGTTGGTGTTGAGCATCAATATGTAAAGCAGACTGTTAGTTCAGCAGAAAACAAATAATTTGTGTTTTAGGAGCACTATATTTGAAACAGAGACAGAGAGCAATCCACGCATACAAAGACAAGCTCCCAACTGGAGCAGGTGAAAAAGGATTACGAGATGTTTTTTTATTCAAAGGTACTCCCAGAACTGTTTATTTTCTGTCTTTCTGGATTTTGATGGGCAAGACTTTCTATAGGATATGAAATCCTGATTGTTTTCACTTAAGGAAGGAAGGAAATTAAACTTTTTATAGGAAATGTTGATACCCTTGAAATTCTCCATACCTTTGGTACGTTTGGAATTCTTTAGCACAGTGGTTTCCAGGGAATAGAAGTTTGCAGTAAGATCAGTTGTGAGGCTGGCTAGCTCTGCCAAGGCTGCTCTAAATTCTGTCCTTTCAGCCAAGAGCTAAAAGACTGGCTTCTCAGGGTATGAAAGTCAGGCTGACAGGATGCTCCAGTTTACTTTTAAAACCAGAAGTCAGTAAGGACAATGTTGAGGATGCTAGATTTGCATAAAACTCTGAAAAGTGCGGCACTCCTTGGTGCCAGAGGTATTCACGTTGTGCTTTTATGCATAAGATGAGAGGCTGAAGGAGACCTCTGATTCCCGTTATCTTCAGAATTAAATGAAACCTCACTGTGATATTCAGTATTTTGAGCTATTTCTCATCTATTTTCCGTCTTGCTAATCAGTTGTTTTTTCAGGGGTACTTTTATTGAGTTCCGAAATGGGATGTTAAATGTGTCCCCCATTGGAAGAAGCTGCAGCCAGGAAGAACGCATTGAGTTCTATGAACTTGACAAGGTGAGTTATGTCTCTCAGAAATATACAACTGTTCTGAAAGAGGCAGTTATGGTCGGGTTACGATTTTAAAAAAGCATTTGCACTTCATCTGATTTTTTCATTTTAATTCTTACCACGTGGTTGAACAAACTTCTTAGTTCAGGCTTCAGGAAATATATACAATAGCTAGCTTTTTGAAGCGATAGTACAGTGATTTGCAGGAAGGGTAGGTCTGGTTCGTTTCTTCAGTACTCTATGCAGAGTACTGCTACGCAAATGTTCCTGAAAAGCTGTGTCAGAGAGGAAACCCTACTTCCCTGGAGTGCTCTTCAGTATACCAGCTTTTGTATCTGTTCGCACCAATAAAGCTATTCCTTTTCTTCTCAAATCTTTTAAGCCTTTTAAAGAAAAATTTAAAAGCTGTGACCAAACTATTGATCTTTTATCCCCCTTGTACACAGTCAACTGTGCAAGGCTGAAATGAATCTGAGCCATGCTACCTGAGTTCAGATTTTCTATCAAGTCAAAAAAAGTTGTTATGGTGTAGGAGGGAACAGAACTATGACTCAGTTAATGGATGCCTAAACACATCTAAGCCCAAGGCATTCTGAAAATACCATTTTTGGAGTATATGGCACTTTTAAGACTGTTTCTGTGCCTCAGTCTCCCCCTGCTGTAAAGCTGATCTTTTAACAGGAGATGAGGCATACTTCATTAGTATTTTAAGATTTTTCGAACAGAAATGTGAGTATCACAGTACATATGTCAAGTTTGGCTGTCTCTTTTTTTTTTTTTTTTTTTTTTAACAACTTGTTAACAGATTGATGTGGAAATATTCTCAACATACTTTAAGTATTAACAGAATATAACTGTATCACACCAGTGATGCTACCTTGGTGTATTTTGTTGGATGTTCTTTTTTTTAAAAAACATTGAAATAACACAGCACGTAACCGATGCATTTTTTTTTTTCCTTAACAGAAGGAACACATAAGAGAGAAATTTGTAGCTGATTTACAAAGAGAATTTGCAGGAAAAGGCCTCACATTTTCTATAGGTATCACATTTTAAATGATTTCATTTAAATTACACTTAAAACAAATCACGTCCTTTCATAGATATGACAACCTCTCATTTGTATGACAGTTCTCACTGTGGGGGTGGTTGCAGGCATCGCCTGCAAGATTAAGCTTTTTTTCCTTTTAGGCTTTCATTTAGTACGTTTTAATTGAAATCCACCAACAAAGGGAACTTTGTTGCTTGTCGTTAGGTGATTGTCTTTTAATGTCAGTTATGTGACTGATTCTGCTCATTTTCAAAACCTATTACATACTTCTGATTAGTCAGCGTTGTTTCTGCTAATCAGTTTTGATCAGAAATACTTATGACATTAGTACGGTTCTAGTAGCCCTTGGTTCTTCAGTTCTGTAGTTGCATTGTGTGGGAGGAAGGAGAGGAAAGAAAATCCAAAAGCAAATGCAAGTTTAAAGAGAAACTGACACTTTTTCACAGTCTTTGATATTTAAAAAAAAAAAATCCCTATAGGAAACAGATTTAATCTCAAGTCAGAGTTGGTAATAATGAAGTCGCAATTTTTGTTTGTTAGACTTTGTTTAAAAGGCTAATTTGCTCCTTTTTGTATTTTGTATTTTGAAAGCCTTAAAATGTCACTTGTTCTCTCCTTCACAAATGTGTTCTTATAATAAAGCAATTTGCTTGGTTCATGTCTATCTTAGGAGGCCAGATAAGCTTTGATGTGTTTCCAGATGGCTGGGATAAGAGGTACTGCTTAGGAATTGTTACCAAAGATGACTACAAGACTATTTATTTCTTTGGAGATAAGACTATGCCAGTGAGTATATTGTTTTGTATATACGTTTCAGAGCTCCTATTTTAAACTACAAGCCATAGAGGTTCTAATCAGGTGTCTTATGCCTGACAGCAAATTGAAGGCTGAGCATAAGTGTGAATGCGTGCCTGTCTTTCACTGGCTGCGTAGCATTGGTCAGCTTAATGCTGAGAGATTGCCATGAGCATAGATTTCTGTTCGGTTCTCTCAAGAGAACACAATGTTCTTCACAGGTTTAATATGGGAACATATTTTAACGTTCTGTAATTATGTTATAAAGTCAAGCCACCTAGGTTTTTAAAACTGATTTATCCTGTTCGGTAGTTGATGGTAGTTTGGTAGAAGATAGACGTTTCTTGTTGGCTGGTGATTAAACATACTAATTTTTCCATTGAATTTGATACTCTTTCTTTGCTAACTGCTGCATCTGTCCCTACATTCAGGAACTGAAATTATATCTAATCCCTGTCCCTAGTCAGGGGAGAGAACTACACAACGCTGAAGGCTTCTGCAGGGTGATTCAGAGGCTTTTGAATACTAAGCAGAGAACTGACGAGAACTAGCCAAAGGGAACAACAGCAGGCACAAGCACTTGGTTGGAATTCAGGCTGTCTGAACACAGCCAAGGGACTGCATTGGTCCTTTTGAGAACAGGCTAAGCTTTATAAGAAAAAGACAAGCTTTAAATTCTTTTTTTTTCCCCTTGACGCTGGCTGCAAAAGCAATCACCTCTCCCTCTGGCAATGAGTTTATGGACAGCTGGTTTAAACCCTGTAATTAGCAGTGAAGCATTTGCATTGTTTTGAGGAAGCAGGACTTGGTGTTGACTCGCTGGCAAGCAGGGTAGCAAGCACCACAAAAAGTAGGTACTCTGTTTCCTGTAGTGCATGAACTTCTTACAGGGATCTTTGCTCTTGCAGGTGACTCCTTTCTCACTGAGCCAGCTGTGAAAGAACCTTTTGTCACTCTCCTGTGATTAGTAACCAATTACAAATGTCATGTCAAACCCATAGCTACCAAGGCCAAAACAGGAACAACAAATGTTAACACTGGTTTAGCCGAGAGGAAAGGAAACAAGCAAGCTGGAAAGAAGAGACTAATGCAAACTAGTTACAAATACAGATAATGATAACCAGCACATGGTAACAAGCTTTATGCCTTAATATTAAAAATTGAACAATTAAAAAATCAATACTGAGTTGTTATATAAAAGTAGAAACACAGCTAAACTTCTACTGCAAACTCTTTGCTTTCACAACCAATTCTAACACCCAGGCCAGGAAGCTAGCTCGTGGTAGTGTTTGTGGTGGTCTGCTGAAGTTTCAGCACAGGTGTGTTAAAAACATATTATGCAAAATCTCAGAACTATATTAACTTGGTGGTTTGCTGTTTTTAGCTTTCTGGAAGACAGCATCTCAGATGTGACAATACATTATCTCCTACGGTTTAGAAGAGTTACTGTCTCTCTCAGAAATTAACCTGAAGGGAAATAAGAAAAGAATGTCTGAAACTTTTAGAATAAGAAAGACTTGTTCCAGCCAGCCCTGCCAATTTTGTTGAGTTATGCTAGCTACTTTTCTGTTTGCTAAAAAGAAAATGGTGGTTCTGCTGGTTGCGTATCCTCTTATAAAGACAGGAAAGACTTTCTTTCATCAGGATCCTCTGACTAGTAATCAATCAGTTTCAAATGTAATATCCAGCTGTTAGCCAGCAAGATAACAGTATTGCTATCTAGCAGCAGTGACCTGAATACTGCACTAACAAGCACTAGTTAAATTAAGCCTATGTTTCAGTTTGACTAAGGAAGCTGCTTTAAAGGTGTCCTCCTGGTAGTTGATTAGCAACCCTTTAAGTCTGAGGTCAATTCAGATTCTTTTCAGAATTTCCTTTGTGCCTTTGCCCTCTCCCCTCAACTGACTGTATGCTAAGCTAAAATAACAATAAATCCTTTTCTGCTTTTTTTTTCCTCTTCTGTTTACAGGGAGGGAATGACTATGAAATTTTCACAGACTCCAGAACAGAAGGCCACAGTGTCACATCACCACAAGATACAAGAAGAATCTGTGAAGAGCTGTTTTTTAAATGAAAAACTTTTTTTTCTTTTCAACTTCACACTTGCAAAACAGTTAAGACAGCCTAGTAACTCAAAACATCTTACTTCATTCTGTATTATCTTCCATAATTGCTCATAAATAGCAAGTACTTTGTGGATCAGTCATTACCGAAGGGAAGTGTTTTAAGTGACTGGAACCTTCCTGACTGGTAGAGTACAGCAGAGCGTGTTTGGGACCATCCTTTCACAGTTTCCATTGGCACAACTACTCTGTTTTCTTTTGGGCTGGTTGGTTTTTGAGTCACCAGTCCAAAAGACTTGATGGTGTCTCATCTGTTTTCCTGTGAAACGTTACTTTGGGAACTTTAATTCACATTGCTCAGAAAACTCACTCAGTTTTCTGGTCAGATGAACTCCCTCCTCCTCTACCATCAGCACAAGCTTCTTGAGCGTAGACTAACTACTAGCTTTGGGTTAAAACTGAGGCTATATTGTGCTTAAGAGTAACACAGTTTGTCTGCTTGCTGCTTTTGTGTTTAAATCTAATCTAATGAAAAAGTGATACCCTTATTAATGCATTGTCTGAGATACTCAGACAGTATAAAATGCTTTACCGATCTGTATATGAAAAGATGAAGAACTGTGGCTTTCAAATTCTGATGTCTTTGTTTTTTTCCTTTTTCTGAAGAGTAACTAGTAAACTTTCTTAGCTAACTAATTACATTGGGGGCAGGGGAAATCTGTCCATATGTGATTTATGGCCGCCTTAAAAATTAGCCTGCAAAATTTTATGCCTAGTTTTGATTTTGAAGCTGCTATTTAAAAATGATAAAAGTTTTAGAGTATTTTTTTAATACTACTCTGTGCTAAAAAACATGAATTATCTGTCCTCTGTGATTTTCTTGTTGATGAGTAGAAGAGACACGTTTTCTTTCCTTCTGGGAGTGGGAAGGCAGAACTGAGCCTAAAGTCCCCTGACCTCATTGCATGGTCAGAAGGTGTATTGAGCCCACCACCACTGGAAAGGCTAGACCAACTGGTGCTAGAGTTACCTCTCAAAACAATTGTAGTGCCAATGCACAGTACAATTAATGGTACCTTTACTGTTCACAGACTTTTTTTTTTTTTTAATCAACAATAAAGAAGTATCAATAAGCTAACTTGAGCATAGTGGCAAAATACATTTTTGTCACTGATTTCATTTCTGGTTTTCCTGGCAAGACTTTTAAGGGTAGGTGAAATTTTAGTGCTAAGATAAACAAAAGAATATGTTTCAATTAAGATACAAGTTGAAGCATGCCAATCACTGTAACTGTTAATATTACTTTTCTTATCTGACATTAGGAAAGTATCCTGTGTGTGAACAATTTACTTTAGAAAAGGAAAATAAAAATCTCATTTTAGTAAGAAAAATTTACTGTTTCAAATAACTTGTCATTTTGGCAAATAAAATATGCAAACCATACCAGTTGTTGTATGTTGCTGGTCTGCACAGTGCAATAAGTGACTGACTGACTTAAATCTTTCCCACTGCAGGTCTACATGATGTTGACACAGTAAAAAAAAACCCCAACCAAACAAAACACTGTGTGCCCAAACAAAATCCCCAAAAGGGCTTACAAAAAAGGAGAGGAATGCTCTGATGTCCTCGTGCATCTAGCCTTCTAACACACTTCTTATGCGCCTACTTCCATAGGATGAGTTGGCCTCAGCAATGCGTATCCTTGCTGAACTGAAAGTACAAGAATTTTAATGAAGGCAAACTTTGGACCAGAAAAGGTCTTTAAAGCTGGTCATATTTTAATAGCGCTGTATGTGCATGCATGTCTATGTGCACAGGCATATGTGAATATTGGGTTACTTGCTGTATGGGTGTTCCTGGTCTTTGCAGAAACTTACCTGTGCAGGACCAACATCCAAATTTGTGTTCTCAAGCTCAGATACAATAGTGTACCTGCAAATACATACATGCACCTACGTACATTAAAAATCTTAAAATTTAGCCTGCTATTCATTCTTGCATAACCATTGCCAATAGCTAAGGTTTATCTTCTGCCTCTCGTGCAAGCTGCTGACAGATGAGAGGCAAACAACCTGCCTCTTAAAAAAAAAAAAAAAAAAATCACAGTTCCTTGTTGCCATCTTACAGTTCCCTCTCAAAACCAAGTGCTGCTACAAAATAAACTTATTTGTGCTAAAAATCATAGAAGACACTGCACTATGATCTTCAGCTTGGTTCAGCTTTTTTAGGGGGGAGGGAGGTGAATGTGAGTGCTTCCAATCTATTTTCACTAGTGTGAGTTTAAAAAAAAAAAAACCACCGCAGGCACAATCCTTCCTGCGTTCAGCAGTCCCCCCACCTGCAGCCTGCCTGATACTTTGCTGCAGCACTTTTGAACCTCGGCTGGTCTGTCCTGCGAGCCCTTTCCAAAATGTTTGTTCTGGCCTTCCTGCCCCAAGTTCTAGTTGAAACAATCAGGCTATCCCTCCCTGTTCCTCCTACAATAATATGTTTATAGAAATAATATTTAATACAAAATAACCGCTAATGAAAATAAATGTATTTACATACATAATAGTATATATATTCTACATTAATATATTAAGCAGCGAGAAAACTCGTAAAATTACTCCATAATTTTTCTGGTAACACCAATCAGTTGATACTGCAATGCTTTTTGTAATACTTCTGGATATCCTACAGGTGTGCACATGCAGGTGCCTACGGCTGCTGACATCTTTAGTGCTAATCATCTTCAGTGCAGAATATGTGGCGAGCAGACTGAAAACACACCTCTTAAAGCATTATAATGTTAGCATTTATTGTAAAGGAAGCAGTGTGTGTGATACTCCACAAGCCAGGTAGTGTTAAACCCACCACTAGTAAGTCTTATGGTGTAAAAACAAACAAACAAACAAACAAACCCCTATCATGTAATACCAACACGCTTTAAGGTAAAATAAACCATGACAATGATTACCTTCATACATCTGTGCTCTCCACAAAGTAGACCTTCTTGGAACACAGTCTTCTGCTGTGAAAGAGAGTCTTAAGATATTTCATGACGTTGCAAGAGCTGATTGTTAATATTGCGAACAGGCAACTGAAATAATTATACTGTTCCATGCAACTAAGAGAAGAGAGTTTCATGCCAACTTTTTTTTTTTTTATTTGCAAAGTCAATAAAAATCCACTGTTAGGAACATAATAGAGAAAAACGCTTCATTTGGAAAAAAATGTATGGGAGGCAAGTAGGAGCAGAACTAAGAGCAGTTGCACTGGTTTGACTACATGGAATCTTGCAGGCAGAGAAGAGAGTCACAGCAAGGGTGATCCTAGCACATCCTACCAAACAAGCTTTTCAGGAAACACAGCTGCAGAATCTACTTCAACAGGACAGCTGAACCTACTGAATAACTCGCACAGCATTTTACACGCAGTGATCTGAACAGCAGATAACTTGCTTTTCAGAAATACAGTTATCTTGCCCCCCCCTTCTCCAAGTGAAACTATAGAGGCAGACATGCACCAACTATATGCAATCAATGGCGATCTTCAGATCTGTGTAAATTCTACCATAGTCAGAGGCTATTAGGTATTCACCACTCTGCTGCTTTCTACTGCTTAGCTTGAAGCAACCAAGCGTTGTTTTTTGGGTTTTTTTTGTTTTGTTTTTATAATGATTTTTAAGTACTGGCCTATAAAATCTGTTGCTAATCAACCATCAAGGCACCAAAGTAAATTCACAAACAATCCAGGTTCTAAAAAAACCATAATCTTCCACACATATGCAGACATGTAATCTGAAAACGTTGCACCTGAAGGGTAACCAGTTGTTGCTGTCAGAACTGTCAGAGCATAACAACTAGACAGAGATTTTCTGTTGTGAGGCAGTTACTCGCATTGGGAACGTCCTTCCGTGATGAAAACAAATTGCAGCAATGAATCTCTCTCTCTCGCCAATGCGCGCAGGCACTGTTACCAGCAATAAGGCAGCATGTTCTATCACCCACAGAAATGCCGCTCAAGGGAACGGAGCGCTCATGCACCTACAGCACCTCTGAGCCGTGTCTCTCACTACTGCCATTGCTCATTCAAATCTCTCCCTAATTCGCTTGGGCATTTACTGGAATCAGTTCACAAGGTTAAAAAAAAAAAAACAAAAAAAAACAAAAGAGAACAACCCCTCCGCCCCCCAAAAGCACACAAACTAGGTCTCTTTAAAATATAGTTTTGTAAACGCATTAATACATATATAGAGATAGATTTTCTTCATTAACTTTTGAACTGTTTTCTTTTTTAAGTATCAAGCCAGCTGTAAAAACAGCAATTTTGGCCTACTTCTGCCCTATTGACAATCTAGTATTTCTTCCAACACAATACGTAGAATATTGATAGGTCAGATTCATCGGAAGTCAGTTGTCGTGCAGTTCCCCGCACGCGTAGTGTCCGCAGCGGCAGCGCTCCACACCGAATACCTTAGGAACTGATGACGTGCCCCGACCAGGTCTCATGTTTGGTTCCAGGAGCTAAATGGGTAATGACCACTTCCACAGCCTGAAGCTTCTCATTCTTAGGGGGAATGGTGCACATCTTGTAGGTGACTTCATCGCCTGCCACGGGAACATATTCGCCTTCAATACTGTGGAGGGGGAGCTTCAGTTACTCATAAGTCACATAAGCACTCCTACTATTTTGCAGCTTATTCTACATTTTTATCATAATGAATATTATGCGCTCAAGATACTTCAGTTGTTATTAGAGCTGATCAGCTGCCCAAAGCTGAGGTTGATTTTGGCTGTCTCGCAGCAAAATCTTACGCAATCACTATAAACACCACCACCATACAACCCTCCCCCTGCCAAGCTCTTATATACCTTAAAAAATTAATCAATCAGCTTAACCTGATCTCGGACAACACTGCTTTGAACCACACATCCATCGCCTTCTGGCACAGAAGTATTACACTCCTACAGTCTTTTACTCCCTGGCAGCACTAGAGGGCAGAGTTTATGCTGTTTGCCAGTTGGGTACCTGGGGATGGGAGAGGGTAAGCAGGCATGCAGAGGGGAAGCTAAAAGTGACCAGAAATTATGATTTGTCCCACGGGAAATTCAGAAGAAAAGTTATTGTTTACTAACTGATTGTTTCAATACCATTTTGAAAATCCTACCATATCTAAATACAGATCTAAAATCTGTTACGAGGAGTTAAAAGCATTCCCAGGCCCTGTTTCTCCGAGCTGAACTCCCTTGCCAGAGCTGCCTGGGACTGCAGGACTCGGAGATCCAAGAGAGCCCGTCCTAAGCCAAACTCCTCAGAGTGGTGCCTGGGAAACGGAAATACAAACTGAAGGTAGAAAAGATATTTACAGAAAAGCCAAGATAAAGCCTCCTTCATCAGATCTGACAGCCCTTTCCTCGTCCCACCCCAGCTGCCCTGACTGACCTTTATTTACCTCCAAAGCCTCCAGGCCAAACTGTCAATGCAGTCCTGCATTGGGCTTGCTACACTCAACCTCCCCATCTCTAGACTCCTGCTATGGCTGCCCTCTTCCACTATTGCCTTTCTATAGCCCTTCCCCCATTTCTAGCAGGTGTAAGAGTCCTTCAGATGTGAAGGGGTTGCACACCCAATACCTGCTGTCCCTCTAGGGGCAGAGATTCATTGACGTTTCTTACTGCCAAAGGACTTTGCCACCATGCTCTGTAGCTCAAGCTGTGACTTGGAAACAACATTTCAAGCAAGTATGAGAAGATGCTAGCTTTGCACTGTCACAAGAGCCTGACAAGTGGGTCACGGAGCCCCAACAGGAGACACAGGAGAGGGTTAAATCACGAGTAAAAGTGGGAATGCCACATGGAAAAATGACATCACTTCTCCCACTTCAATCTCTTGAATGCCGAACACGCCGATGGATTTGATCCTGGTAAAGAAACACCCTCACTGCCACATGGTCCTTTCATTCTTTCTCAAGCGCTGATCACTGCAAACCACTAAGAGAGTGATAAAAGCTGAGGGCTGCACTCCAGCAGAAGCCAGAACTGGGGGCCTTCCTCCTGGGCGGTCTCTGAGTCCTGGCAGGACACTGGAGAGAGCTGCAGCCACCGACAAGTCAAGGGTTTTGCTATGCCAAAGGCTGAGCGCACTTCTCACACTGCTGCGTGATACCGCTCTGTTAGCAAAACTGACATGCAAACTAAGTTAGGAGACAGTCCCGACGGGAAGCACTCATTCGCTGCTCATTACACGTGTATTAGCTGGTACCTGAAAACCTAGCGTTGAAGTCAGCAGACCTGGAGACTTGTAAGAACCATGGGAATATGCTAGGACCTGACAGCCAGCACCGTGCAGAGAAGCCTCCACAGCTGCCCTCGGTCTCTGTGATATAAACTCACTATGAATCAGCCCTCCTCAAAGAGAGGAAATCAGGTAGCACCCACCTGGAGACCACAGCAAAAAAGAAGCACTAGAGATAAAAGCGTAAATGAGCACGTCTTCATTCTGCTGACCATCGGACGTCACGGATGTCAGCTACGACTGAGCACAATGCTGCTACAGCGCACTGAACTGTGACGACTTCATTCAGGTGAACGAGCCGTCAGTCTCAAAAACCAAGATTGTTGCTATTTACGCTAAAAACACATCGCCATTAGCAGTGACTTGCAACACAATCCTTGCATGACTGCAGTCACACCTAACAATCCTAATGCCTTTCAGCAGCAGGCACTACTGGGCAGACATTTTATATATACACAGGAGCACAGGACTAGCAAAAACACAGTGACCGGAAACATTATTTCATAATTTTCAGATCTAGTGAAAAGTCTATGTTGACTCAAGTACAGCTGAGCTGTCGGAAAAAAATGTAATGAAACATTTGTCTTCATATGGCTTTGAGAGCTCAGACCAGCTGCAGACAATGTTTTGGAGAACAGCGGCAGATCAGTTATGCAGAGCTGGAACCAAAGCAGTGTCTGTTCCTGAAATTAGGGCCGCCCACTCTATGGCCCCAAGCATTGCCTTTTGATTCCTACGCAAAAGATGAACACACAGTGCGCAGTGAACTCAAAGTCACTGCTCCACAGGCATCAAACAAAACGGATGCCCTACCCAGGAAGCTGTCGTATGTTTGGATGAAAGGTCTTTTGCATGAACAGGAATCTTACACGTTCTATAAAAGTTTCTGTAAAACAGGAGGAGATGCATTTAGTGATGTCGACATTTGAAATCTGCAGAAGACATCAGTAGGTAACATTAATGCGGAAGGAAAGTGGGTTCTCACCGTCTCTTGAAGCACAAAAGCCTTGCCAATACACAAAGGCAGTGTTTTAAGTTCCCAAAGAACAAAAAGAAATTAGCAACAAGCACAGCTTGAGTGCTAAAAATGATGAGGTTTTTTTTGTTGTGGTGACGTTTGTTTAAAATTGAAATATAAATATACACCAGGATGTAGCCTGGTAAGAAAGGGCTCGTAAGCGTACTAGTAACCGAAATGGTCCTGCTTCTCAAGGAACCGGGAAGCGAATTGGTATATACCCAGAAATGGTATGCCTAACATACGACAGGCTGTGTGTCAGGGAAAGGAGAAGCAAAGGAGCCAACGCAGACTGAAGGACGTGTTCTCAGTTATCACCGTCTAGCCACTGCATCCCTGGGCAATTATCAGACCACTGGCTGTGGTATCATCTACAGTCTCTGGTCTGCACAGAAAATAAAAAACTGCATTAACTCATTAAAAAGTCATTTGCTGACCCAAACCTCTTAAGTTTGAATTATCAGGTTAATTACTCCTGTTCCTTCTGCCAAAAAGGCCAAATTCGCCCTGGAACCTGCACAACGCTAAAGGTGTATTTTTCTCCACTAAAAAGAACTTCTTTCAGAACTGAGCATTACACTGACGGGATCATTTCCTTTCTTCTTTTCTCACCTTATATAAACTGACACTGCAAGAGCCTGAAGCTTGTGATAAAGCTTCATTTATCCCCAACAAGACTTCTTCTGTTATCCCCTAGTTTGTCTTATTTCCTTCCTTGCTTGTTGACTGAACTTAAGTGATCAAAACCAGGACTAGTCTTTACAAAGCTGTAAGAGAAGGCTCTGGACACACAAACAGCTTTAATTTCATACCCTGCCGTCAGCCTTCAAACTAGTCTCCCACAGACCCAATCTTTCCTGCAGCTTTCTACCTACCAGTTACTCTTGGTGCCTACCAAATATGAGATTATTAACTCGTTGCCCCCAGGGTTTATGAAAAACAAGCGGACAAAGGTCTTAGTTTGCAGCCTGATTAAATTTGCTTGTGAACAATGTTCTTATTACAGGGTTTGCCCACCAAACGGTAGCTGCTTCTGCTGGTCATGGAAACAGTGACACTGGGTAGATACATACTTGTTCCAGCACCGCTGTCACTAAATGATGTTTAGAAGCAGGCACATCCAGCTTGCACAGTATTTTTGGTGGTGTCAAGACAGAAGAATATAATGACACTTGAGAGATGATGAGGCTGCTGCTGAGTAGGGGTACAATACGGCACTGGATGACAGAGCCCTGCACAAGTTATAGGAAGATCCTCCAGGAGGAAGAAGTTGCCTTAAGCGCTAGGAGGCAAATGACCTGTAAGAGGTCAGAGAAGGCAAGCAGCACTCTGCAACAATTACATTACCTACAATACAGGTTACCTGGATCATTTGGTAGAGGAAGTTAAACATGGAAATCTTTTCTGATATATACTGATTAAATCTTTTTACATCATTAAGATCATCTAAGATCACAGATAATCATATTATTTAGATCATCTAAGTATATATTAAATGTTGATCTAAAAATGAAGGTGAAGATTTTCACTACTATTTAAGAGATTAGTATGCATATTCCCATTCAGTGCAATGGACATCTATGTATCAAAGAACTTTAAGACATTTCAACAAATTAAACTAAAAATAGGAAACGTTCTCCTGATGTCAGTGTCACAGCGAGACACAATAGAATTTACTTTAGATTATCCAGCAACTCCCATTTCCCCAGCTCAGTGCCAATCTGGTAGAGTGAAGCATTTTATCCTGCACTATTTTTAGGAAACTGGGAGGTTATTAGGAAATTACCTAAATAAGGAATGTTCTAGTTCTTCCTTCTCACAGCTGCTATTCATATTCCAAAGCTCTAGTTAAGCCTCTTGGGACAAAGACTAGGTCAAAAGGAAACATTTTAGAATGAGAGTTTTTCATGAATTCAGAGCCTATCTGGTCAACAAGCCTGCAACGGATTGCACTGCCTAGCTGCTTCTCCAGGTTCAACGAGCTGTATTATCTTGTGGACTTCCAAACACTCAGTTAACACTTCAACATGCCTCCCAAAACACTTGCCTTTTTTTTTTTTTTAAACAGCAGGACATGACAGAGGAATGAACTGTTCTGAGTTACTAATCCTAAATGCTGTCACATGCAGTCTGAGAGGTATGGAGACATTTTTGGTTTCACAATCAGCTAAACTTTACAGAGATGGCTGGCAGGCAAATCAAGAGCACTGCTGCCACTCATCCATCAGAGATGGGACTACTCACATTAATAGCCGGGAAATACAAGTGCAAAAGAGGTCCAAACACTGAGGAAACCTCACGTATAAATATCCAAGGTCTTTACT